CAGGATAGGAGAGCTAGGATACTAGAACATTTATTTTGTAGTGGTTCTTACACAGATGATAGTCTACTGAACCACTCCAAACTTTGTTGTTATTATTATTAAAATGATAAATTGAGTAATTGAACAAAATAACTAGAGAACATAATTATTTTCCGCCTGTAAGAATATTCTTTGACCAAAATAACAAATTGAACAATGAAATAACTAAGAAGCTTAATATTTGATTAAGTAGATATGGATTTCCTTAAGGCTCAGTTGGACGGTTAGTCAGCTATGATTACAACAATTCACAGAGGTTTAAAATTGGCAGCAAATTTTGTATGGCTTTTTTTAAATAGAAAGATATTATTAAAATTTTTCATACTACCGGGACTAGCACTGTCCCATAACGTTGGAGCAGTATGAGACACGCTGTTGTTTATCACATTCAATCTTGACAGATAAATATAAAACGTATGACTTTGTCTTTTATCTATCTAAAGATTTTAAAATATGCGAAAAATTTAAGAAATTTGAAAAAGTATGAAGGCAATAAATTTTGAGGTTTAAAAAAAATTTGTGTCATCAGCATACCTCATGCATCTGGATGAAGACGATGCTTTAGGTGGATCGTTTATGAAAATAAAAAATAAAATTTGTATATACATTCCGTTTCGTTTCGTTTCTTAAGAGTGAATGCGCACCTACACGAATGTACGCCCATAATTTCTCATTTGCGTAGTTGTACAACTAGATGAGATGCTTGTACGCAAGGAGAGGATAGCAAGTTCAATGGGTCACTGGTGGGTTGGTATCTGAACTTTGAACTCTGACCTTCCATCCATTAAACACTTTTTCTTCGGTATGTATTGGATAGAATTGAATGAATGAATAATGTTTATTATGTATGCAATTTGTGATCCACGTGTTTTTGTATTACTTTATTTAATATACATACGGAGTAAAATGTGAAGAAAGGAGTGAGAGAAAGAAAATGTAAGAGAAAAGAGAAAAAGAAAGAGAGAAATTTGCATTTTATTGCTAGTTATCTGTATTTTTATTTTAAATTCTATTTCAAAACTGCTGCTAGCCAACATTCTTGTATGATTCTTATTTTTCTTAAAAGTTTGCATCAATGGAAAAGTTTCCACCACAGGCCAGCAAAGAACAATTTGACCGCATTAAACACAGATATTGAAAGAAACGACAACATTTATTAATATTAATAACATTATTAATAATTATTACATTTATTAATGATAAATTTAATAAATAAGACAACATTTATTAATTTAAAATAACATGAAAAAAAACATTATGAATCACGACAACTGTTGAATACATACAATTAGAGGATGGTAATGATTAAAAATATAAATCAAAAAAGTATCTAAATATAACGACAAACATATGATGTTTCCATAGATACATAATTCTATAAATTCTACCGAATAAAAATTATGGTCTATTACCAACATAGATACATAAAGAAACAACACACCCAGCAAAAACAATGCATGCAACAACCACAGTACTAACTAACAAAATATAGCAATGATAACAACAACAACATCGAAAAACATCAACAACGACAAACAAATACTTATGAAAAAAATCTGCTGAAATCAAACAGCATATAATGATTATTTTATTTCTTACCGCATTGGATTTGTGTTGATGGATGATATAACAGTTCAATGGTCACTGACTGTCTCTTTGTTTGGCTGTCTGTCTGCCTGTTTGTTTGTCTGTCTGGCTATTTGTTTGCCTGTTTATTCGTCTGTCTGTCTGTCTACTTGACTGTTCATTCGTTTGTTTGTACATTGTTTGTTTGTTTGTATGTTTGTTAGGTTGTTAGTTTGTTTGTAAATTTGTTTGTTGTTTGTCTGTTTTTTCCATCTCTACTTGTCTGTCTGTATGTTTGTCTGCTGAAATTATTGACGACCAATTATACTCATGCATGTTCGCATGTTTATGCTTCCAATGCTTATGAGTTTGTTCCGTGTTTGGATGTTTTTAAATGTTCATGCGTTTGTCTACGTATGTGTGTATGTGTGTAAATGTGTGCATACGTGTATGTGTAAATGTGTGTGTGTATGTGTGTATATAAAGATGAATGTATTGTTAATTTCATTGCCAAGTGTCATCCAATTAAAGTTGATTATTCACAATTAAAAGAGTGATTGATGGATAAAAGAACGGATGAAATATTGTCTAATATATCTTGAATGAATAAAAAAAGATGAACGAAATAATGAATAAATGAATGGTTGATTGATTGAATAAATAAATAAATTGATTGACTAACTGGCTGACTGGCTGGCTGACTGACTGACTGACTGACTGACTGACTGACTGACTGACTGACTGACTGACTGACTGACTGACTGACTGACTGACTGACTGACTGACTGACTGACTGATTGATTGATTGATTGATTGATTGATTGATTGATTGATTGATTGATTGATTGATTGATTGATTGATTGATTGATTGATTGATTGATTGATTGATTGATTGATTGATTGATTGATTGATTGATTGATTGATTGATTGATTGATTGATTGATTGATTGATTGATTGATTGATTGATTGATTGATTGATTGATTGATTGATTGATTGATTGATTGATTGATTGATTGATTGATTGATTGATTGATTGATTGATTGAAATACATGTGTATTTTTTTAGAAACAT